AACAAAACAATAGGCAGTGTGCAGCTTTTTTCGTTTACAGAGAAAAGGCAAAGCTGATTGAAAACTGCCTATCAATTTGACATATGGTTCACAGTTTGCGCGAATGTCTTTGAGCAAATCTGCAAATGAGTGTAATGTTTTTAATGTCCTCTCGTATGCCCACCTTAAATGATCCAACAGGTCCTGCTCTGTCAGAATCTATCCAGGATGGCATGCTGTCTCGAAGGTTCTTCATCGACTCCTTTTGATCAAAACCAAATGATAATTACGAGAGAAATGTTTGCGCAATTTCACTTCAGAAAGTTTTTTATTTTCTTGTTTACGTCTCTATTAATCACACACTTCGGTCTTTGTCGCCAGTATTTAAATATCAATTGTGCAGACTGCCTTGAGATTTTCCCATAACATTATACAATATCTACTATGCCCTACCTGGCGCTTGAACATGTCGCTAACCACCATTCCGCAAAAGAACTCCCACTCCTGTTAACAAAACACTCGTAAATATCGACTGACATCATTGTTCTGTGCATATTTTCCGGGAAATTTTGCAACTTTAGAGTACGACACAAGAATAATGTGAAACGGTGAGTTGGTAAAAAGAGTACTGCTGCAAGTTATGAGTGGTCGTGTGGTTATCCAGGGAGAGCGTTGTTGTCCAAGGATAAGCATGTTGTTTCTATATGGGGCGCAGTGCTGTCCAGGGAGATGCGGTACTGTCTTGTTAATATAGAGTTGTCCATGAGTGCGATTTGTTGTCCAAGGGGTGTTATGATGCTCAGGAATGTGTGGTGTGTTGGGTTGCGTGGTGTCCTGGAATGCGGGCTATCCAGGAACACGGCGGCTTAAGTAAGATAGCAAACCTACCTTCGTTTGAAACATTTCAGGATGAGTGCCGTGAACCAGATGAAGAGCGAACATCAAACGATCAGCCTACAAGTAAAAGGACCAAGTAAAACATGGACTGTGGTTAAGGCTAATCCATGATGCGCGATTAAATGGCGGGATTTATTAAACGAGTTGATTATGTATTCGCTTGCTGATTCATATGCATGTGCAAACGTGTAAACGGAAAAACCGTGCGCTTTTCATTTGAGAATCCTGATGGCAAGGATTAACCATTACCAGGCAATATCCAGGCAATGTTGTTGTT